CAATGCACAGAGAGTCCCATAATTGGCACCTTGGAAGATCTGAAAATATAAATTAATACCACTATACAAAACATGAGGGGATTAGATGGAGCTGATATGAGCGGAAACAGACAAGTTTGACATTTAAATAACAGAAAGATCTTTTTTTTAAAACCGTGACAGAATTTTCATGTCAGAGTTTTATCAGTGTGGTGTTTTTCTAAAGTCAAAGCCAGAATGGAAGAACGTCTTATATTCTTTCCAAGATGGACAGATTCTACAAGACTTTTCTTTTCTTTAACATTTTTAAATGAAAGCATTAAAAATTGGCTGCTTTAACTTTTTTTCTTGTTCCTCAGATGCCACAGCTTAGAGGGATTGATGAAAAATATATGAACTCATGAGATTCTTCCTAGTTTCTGCATTTATTGGTTATATAGTGAGCAATGTATTTTCTCAGTTGCCAGTTAAGCTAATTTGTTGCTAAATGCTTCACCAGGTATTTTTTTTATTTGCACTCAGTTTTACAGCCTATTGTTTGCCTCTGTTCCAACTTTTTTCTTAGTTGAAACGATCTGTTTTCTGTTCTGACACAAAGTATGAATTTAGGATATTTACACCTGCATTTTGTCCCAACTTTTCTGAAGTTTGAGCATTTATGTTTCTTGCTTTTATCAGGGACAAATTTTAAAAATATGTGATGCTGTCTTGTGATCGTAGGCCAAATAACTGCAGATAAAACAATGAAGAAAGAACCAAATGGATCCTTTTCTGCACAGAAATGATTTAATTCTCTTCCCTGGTGGTTTAGTTCGTAATTGAAAAAAAAAAACAATCTTCTTTTTTTAACAAACTAAACTAAAGTGTCACTTATAAACACAGAGGATCTCTGATTTCTCAATTAGTTTCAGTCTCAGTGTCAAAATGTAAACACACACACGTTTGTACTTCTATCCTCGTGGGGACATTTTATTGACTTCCATTCATTTACAGGTCATGTCTAGAGCCTAACCATTTCCTTTACACCAGGGAAACTCAAAGATTTTGGGTCAGGTGACCCCTTACAAGGGCAAAAAAAAAAAAAAAAATCCAGGGGACCCTCATAAATGCTATGTTGTTTTAAAAGATAATTTACTGTCATTCCAACCCCTAAATGCCATGGGAATATATATTTTTATTTAGTTTATTATGCTTGTTTTATCAGTTCTTTGTTCCCCTTGCATTTTTAAAAATAAAAACCAAATAAACAATTTCATGAAATTTTTTGAGGACCCCCAAGATACCTCTTGCGGACCCCTGGGGGTCCTGGGACCCCAGTTTGAGAACCTCTGCTTTACACTAAACCTAACCTAAACTCAATTCACACCTTAGTCCCAAACCCAACCCCTGACCCGCCAACGGGATTTCACCCGACTGGGACCGGGCGTGGAACAGTGGGTCCCCACAAGGCTCTGTGTACCAGGAAAATGGTCAAAACTCGTCCCCACCAGGTAACAAANGTTTTATGGGTAGAGTAGTTTATTTTTCCTGTTATACTTCATTATAGTTTTTTAAGACAAAGCTAATTGAAAGGGGCGCTGAGCAAAGTTACAACCACGGATTACAAATACTTTTTTTTCTTCTGCAGCTTGGCACCCTCTCCAGCAGATGGCGCTCTAGGCGACCGCCTAGTTCACCTATGCCAAGAGCCGGTTCTGTTAATGCAACTTTCATTTTCCTGCAAAATATGAAGGTTTCACTTTCTCAACTTTATTATTTGTATTTTTTGTTAGGTAAATCCAATCGTCTGTTCTTTGAGTGTATTTTGAGCAATAGCAAATTGTGCAACAGTGTTTGGAGTCACCTCTGTGCGTCTGTTAGCAAAATATCTCCTTAATGAAAGTTTTAGGAAACAATGACTGAATGTAAAACTGGTTTTATTTTGGATCTATAATCTGGGAGAAGGAGGGGAGAGGCCCGGAGCAGGGGGGGAGGAGGAGGGAGCATCGGGGCCTTTGGGGCGAGTTCCGCCCAACTTGTGAGAAACTTTTCTGCTGTCACTCAGCGGTGAGGCGCGCGGGAGGACGGCGCGAGCTCAGCTCCAGCACTGCAGCGCGTCAGAAATGAATCGGCTTCTTCTCCTCGTGGTGCTTTTCGACGCGTCGCTGTGGCGATGCTGCCATGGCCAGCAGAGAGGTGAGTCATCAGAGGCTGATCGGTAATCGATTAGTTGTTTACAGCGGGACTGTTCGAGGTTCGGTGTAACGCACAGTCCGTGGGGGTCGACCAGGTGGGCAGAAAGTAACTTTAGTCAACATTTCAAACAGTTACATTAAAGTTCTCCAAAACTACTCTGAGTTAGTTTGAATTTGTCTGGGATGTGTTTGAGGACAGGATTTCCAATCATGGATTAAACAGGACTTTGTTTTTACTTTTTTAATTCAGGAATTCACTGTTTGAACTGATCAGAGCTGCGCTGAGAGGATTGTGCGACTTTGTTATAAGTTTGCAGTTTTTTTCCCCAAAGTGTGAAGTTTCACTTAACATTAATTGATACCAACACCTCTTTATGTCCAAATGAAGATTAACTCTGATTTCTGTTTAGAGTTCATGGTGTTAAAGGGATCCGTGATTAGTTGTAACATTTGACTTTATTTGATAAACTTATATTTTAACTGTAAAATAAAGACTGTAAAAATACTGCAGGATGTTCAGTTTTTATAATTTTTAAACTAAAAATTTTAAATATATTACACGGACGGGGCCATTTTATTTACACACAAAGCATTCTGGGTAAATGATGACGTGGATAGGTCCTCGGTGCGAGGCTGCTAGCGAGCTATATCCNAATAAAAACTTTGCTAAGCTGGCATAAATCTTTTAAATTGTTAGCAAGAAACAACAGAAAAACACACTTTCTTTTAGCCTTGGTTAAAGATAAAACTGATGCTCTTTTTTTAAACCTGTTAGCCCTGACTACTGAACAAAAACACGTGTAATCATTTCACTATTATTTCTGGATACATTTTCAGACTGTAAATAACAAACATGTTTCCTGAAAATCATCCTCATGTCGTCTAAAAACAATAATGTGTAAAGATAAAAAGATTTAATTTGAGATCATCAGGGTGTTGGTCGATGTCTGCTCGTGGTAATAAACCAGTGATTCACTCACAACACACACTCTGATCTGACTTCTACAGAAAACTGATTCTGACATAATTATAAAAGCAGAAATATATAAATAAACCAATAAATAAATAAACACACTTAAAATGCACCAGCTGATTTTAAAAAGGAGAACTTTACCTCATGTTTTATAATGTAACATTTTAAAAACAGCACAATTTAAATAATGTGCTCAAATATATCATTTGTTGGAACTAACGTGGAAAAATAAATATGATGGGTAATTAAATTATAAAACATGAGATAAAGTTCTCCTTTTAAAAATAATGGGTGCATTTAATTGTTTTTATTTTATATATTTCTGCTTTTATTTCTAACTATGTCAGTTTCAGTCTTCCATAGACTTCACAATATTACATGTAATTATAATAATGCTTTTTCCAATGTTTGATCTAACAGCTCATTTGAATCTAAAACTATGGCCTAAATGCATCAGGCAGGATGCATTCCTTTAAGATATTATATGAACAACAGAATACAGAAAAGACTTCCAAGATGAAAACAGATTTGGAATTTATTTGTCACAATAATTCCCTGAAAGTTTTGTGGTGTTTTGAACAGTTTGGCAGTTTAAAGCAGAACATTTCAGCCGCTCAGTTTCCCTCAGAGACCAAGTATCTGCGGCCCGTCTGCCACGGAAACTTCGCCTCTGAGGAAAACTCAAACGAGTCCTGGCACTCAGGTCGGCGTGTATAAATACACCACGCAGTACTTGTTTGTTTGCGAACCTTCGTACATTAACTCCGATTTGAAAATCTGTTTTTTTACGGCATTAGTACAAAAACATTAGCTAATTCAAATCAACCCTTAAAGGAACATTTCTGTGTGCGCTGTCAGCAGTTGTGTGTTTGTTGTTTGTGTATATGTGTGTGTAATGGCTTATTGATGCCCCATTGTCATAATGTATTCTCTGTGGACCCACTGTTCAATTACAGCAGTCACTCCCTGAAAGACTACATTTACATGAGTGCAGCGCCTGAACACAGCCAAGAGTTTGCTGCATAATAAGCCATTAGCTTTTACTCCTATAAGAACAAGCTCTGACCGGGAGATTTTCATTTCCTAAAAAAATGATTTGATTTAAGTTTAATTTGATAATGAAGACAAGAGAGCGCCTGACGAACATCGTACGAGACTACAAAGCATTATTTAGTCGTGTAAAAACACAATGCGAGCAAATGAAACGGGAAATGCTCAGTGCTTTTTTCAAAGCCGTGCACAGATTAACACCCGAACGGTTGGCATTTACATTTCTTCATTTTTGTCTTCTGGAACAGAAACGAGACATCGTTTTCATGGAGAAAAAAAGAGGAAAGTGCTTTTTGAAAATGAACCAAGCAAAATGGCAATTTTGACTCCAGTTGATGGAAGCTGTTATCTGAGGAGCAACAGTCTGAATGTTGGGTTTAAAAAGGAAAAAATAAGAAAACAGTTTTCTATAAGGCTGGCTCCAGATTTGAATGAGAAAAGAAGAAAAAAGGGAATTAACTGAATAATCTAACAGGGTGTTTGTGTCAGATGGTAATTTAGAAAAAGTTTAGGTCAGGAGTGTTTTTACAGGGATTACCAAGAAACAACAGGACAGGGGTGTCCGTCATAGAGCTACACACAACCAAACACACAACCAAACACACACACACATCAATATTTTTGGCCTGTAGGAGGAAATCAGTCCTCATAGCTTCCCAAAATTTCGGAGCCTTTATAAGTCAAAAGCAGTGGTTCTCAAAGTTGAGGTTGGGTCATGAAACATCGAGCCCCCCATAGAGTTAAACAACACTAGAGTGAGCCCCTCCTATCCCGTCCACTGTTAGCATCTGAGGAGCAAAAACGGTGACCGTACAGGGTGTCGTCTCAGTTATCATGTTGTTAATTTCATTCAACAATCGTAAAACAGCTAGCACAAGAAAAATATAGGATTTATAAGTAATGGGCCTCATGTAAGAACATGTTCGTATTCTTATCCTAAATTTCTCTTACTTTTGTTCGTACAAAGGGTTCGTACGAACATGTCACGTCAGATTCAACAAACTCTTCTATCTNTAAAGTCTAATGTTACAACTAACCAGGGATCCCTTTTAAAGGTAAAAAACAGAAACAAATGTATATCATAAATTTGATCATACTTTTAGGAAAATACCACATACACAAATCCAAGTTTAGTAACTCCACTCCCTCTTTTCTGATGTTTAAAAATGAATTTGAACAATATATCATAAATATATCTGACTAATAATAAGAAAACTAAAAAAAACGTATTGGTTTATGCACTTTATTTAATGTTTTTGTAGTATTCCCCCTGGCTTTTGTTTGTTTGTTCAAATGTCTGTTGAGAACTGTTTTGTATTGAGCTTGTTATTTTTGCTAATAAAAAAATCACGGTTCAAGATGGCGGCCAAAACTGGCAATTGCAAATGCATATATGGCTGTAAACCAGACAGTTTTACAGAAATTGAGCTAAAACTTGGTGTGGTAGTAGATGAGAGTCATCCTTAACAAATACTCCAAGAACTAACACATTGCTCGGTGTAATGTTGTTTTTTTTTACAAAAACTAGACCAAAAACAGTTGGAACTCAGTCATTTTTCATCATAAAGTGGTTTTAGTTAAAAACTCTGGTATGAAAGGCGGCAGGTGAAATACATCCCTTACTCTAGCTGTTAGTGGTCATAATGTAATGGCTGATCAGTGTTTCAGTTTGTCTCATGAGGAGCTGATGTTGCTGACTTGAGAGATGAGAATCTATTGCTTGCCATGCTTTTACTTATTTATTTATTTCCCTGTTTATTTTCTTCAGAACACCTCCTGCTAGTGCTCCGGACCTCCTGCAGAGGAGAGGGGGCTGCCTGCAGGATGGGAGTGTTTATGCATACGGTGTGTGAGTGTGTGTGTGGTGTGTGTGAGTGTGTGTGTGGTGTGTGTGAGTGAGTGTGTGTGTGTGTGTTTATGAGAGAGAAGAGGGCGAGAGAGGCCATCTGTGTTAGGAGCCTCATTACCAGGCGTGTCAACCAGGCATGCTCTCTATCAGCGCCGGAGCTCAGACCGACACCAGGAGATAATCAGAAACGACGAAGACGAGGAGGGGGGGCTGAGAGGGAGAGGAAGGAGGGGGTAAACAAGAGTTGTTAGGCATTGAAGGAGACATTAATGATAGAGAGAAGATGGATGAAGCAGGTAGATGGAGGGTTTAGAGGACCTGAGAGAGGAGGACGAGATGCTGGTGATAATGGAGGGACTGAAGTGTACACAAACACAAAGGGTCTAAATAAAAACAGAAACTATCGAACCTGTTTGCTCAACATAAAAACACGGTTTAAATAAGATGCTATTTTAATAATAAACTCGTTCATTGTGCAACATGTTACGCATTTGCCTAGAAGTTTTACTGACAGCGTCTGGATCCTAAATTGTGCTTTTTAATTGTGTTTTTGGATCTAGAGACGTGCTCAAATGATTCATTCCTCTTGGTAACATTCTTAGTTTGTTGCTTTCAAACAGAACTAGATACCGTTTAGCCTTGCATTTTGAACGTCACAAATTTAGCGTTTTATTCCTTCGAACCGTAAGTCTGATTTTCTGTTAAACTGATATCTTTACGCGCACAGAATCAGCATGTAAACCTACGGGGAAATCAACAGTTTCATGTGACTCACTTCTAACACTGACTTCCCACAGAAACCTCATTATGCATATTCAAAAAGCACAAGTATCATGAAGACTGATTTCCCAGTTGATGTTTATTGTACTTTGGTGTAATCAAATTTGCAGAGTGATACTATAAAATATTTTCTCCTTCTATCACAGGATTTATTCCAAAAATAAATGAAAGTTATTTTGTAGTTTACCGGTCTCCGCAGCAGCTCCAGCACTGTTTATAAGCTTAACTGGGCTTGAATGGGATGAGAACTTAAGAGGTCTTGCAGTGGATGTGATGTGAATCCAGAATATATTAGATTTTTTATTATTATTCTTGCCCAACGGAGAAATCAACAATTTTACAAGGTGAA